AGATGTCTCAGGCTATGAATCCCACAGTCTTTCAGTGAGCATGGCCAATGGAAAGTACCAGGTAGGGGGAAGCTGAGTTAGACAATTCAAATTCAAGTTCAGTTCCATTCCTTTTCCTGGTCCTGGTCCTATAACTGAAATCCTGATGCAATCTAAAAGTCCAAGCCTTGATCTAGAGGCTCCATCATGGAAGGACCTTCCATGAGAGGAATTGGTCCACTCAGCTTTACCTAATTTGGGGGATCCATCCTGACCTGCACACCACAGCTTGCCCCATTCAGCAGTGTCTCTTGACTGTCTGTGGAGTGCCTTCTAGGGAAGTCCACTTCTACCTGTCTGGTATATCTGGTTTAAACCTAGATGCTGCTTTTTGTAATGCATGTATATATGACTATGTCCTATCAGCTACTTCCAATTCTATCTTTACAACGACTATTTCCATCTTGACCTACTGCGGTAAACTACTGACTGGCCTTACTATTGGTCATAAAATATCCAGAAGAAACCATTCCTGAGCAGCCCTGTTTTCTGCCTGTCCCCGCAAATGGTGGAGAAACTGAACAGATGCTTCGTAGCCTGCAGTAACTAACAGACAGAGTCTTCCTAATCTTTCTGCTTTGTGTTTTTATGATGCAATTGTGAATTATGCTGTTTGTGTTTGTAATGATAGTGATGAGCAGATGGAGGGAGATTTATTTCAAGGCAAGACAGCTATTAAAATAGCCTAGTCTGGACTCCTAAACAGTCATTAGCCGTACCCTGATGTATTAGAATGGGAAACTGTTTACTCTCTCTTTTTAATGAATCTGTTTAGAAGAGAAGAGGGCATCAGGGGGCAGGTCCTGGGCAGAACCATTCAGCACAATGGCTGTTGTTTAAAAGCACAGATGTAGAGGTGCAACAGATTTGTACATTTGTATCTGTGTTCCTTAAGAAATTGTGAGCAAAGATTACTGAGACAAGTATGACTTTACATGTTGTTCCCACTTTTTGTAAATAATTATTTCTATTCAGTGCCTTCCATCCGTAATATCGTCACAGTAGCTTACCATTAGAATGTCTTACGATAAAACAGTGTTGAAACAATGCAGCAAACATAGCGACAGCACTGAGCACAAAGAGCTACCACAGCCGGACCAGACCTCTTTCCGCAGGCTAAACTGTGGGGCAGGGGGAGGCAGCCCACTCCGTTTTCATGCCAAATGGACATGGACATGACTGTGATGCTGACATTTGGTCCTGACCATTACAGAATCAGTGCTCCCCAGCCAGACTGTCCTTCCTAGATAAAGTGCTGTATCGGCTCTTGGGGAGAGTCAGGGGCACATCAAGACAGTTGCATGACGTTCAGGATCTGTGCTGCATGTGGCGCCCCCAGATTATGGATTGGCAGCGGGGAAGTGCAAAAACAGTTAGATGGGGGCGCAGCGTGCATCTTCTGAGCTCTGTGTGGCCCACCCTGATTTACTGCATAGCAGAGCATGCTCTAAATAGTACAAATACAGATTTTACTAAGCTGTGTGTTTCTTACTAGATGCAAAGATTAATAAGAGGCCAGAGGCCAGAAGTGCTTCATTTGACAAAGTGTTTTATTTGCTTAAGGGAAGAGATGAAGTACTATTTGATCAAATAAATCTGTGGAAAACAATCAAGCTGTTGCTTAATGAGAAACACTTACCCTCTGTGTAGCACTTCAGAGTGCTCTAAACATTTCAGTTACATTCCCTTGGTAATCCTGACATAACCCTCTAAGGTAAACTGTTCATATTATCCCCATACAGCTGTTGCTGGAAAAGAGAGCTTTTCTGCATGAAGTTATCAGTTGGCCAGATCTATTTTCAGTTTTGTCACAGAACTGAGATCCAAGCAGGAAGTGAGTGTGTCCTTTCCTGCTTTTCCACTATATTACCTATAAGTGGTGCTGTGGCGTGGCAGAATAGTGCAGGTGCACAAAAGGTGACTGTGTTTTATTTGCAGATTAAATGCTGTCTTTTCCCTGCTCAAAAACACCCCAGAAGTGTTGCTTAGGCACAGAAGGAAAACTGGGCTGTCCTGTCATTGTTTGCAGATGCCATGAACAACCATGATCAGGGAATGAGCAGCACACAATAACTGCCATGTCAAGAAATGTCCCAGCTCGCCAAAGGCCTATTCTAAGTATGATTGTGGTTGAGAGAGCGTTCCGTTTTTCTTACTCTTTCCAAATGCACCAGAAGGCCTGGAAGAGGATTGCTTTATACATTATGAATTGCATCCTGAGACATTTTTGGCACCCCACCTCTGTCCAAACACATTTTGCCTTCAGAAAGAAAAAGAACAAAATCTGAATTAAGTGCTACCCCAAAGACCTTTTGCTCTGTTGGCCATGTATTTCTGCAGCAGATAGATGGGTGGGCAGTCTTGCTACCTTGAAGAAAAGAGGCAGTTGGGATAGCATGCTGAAGTCATAAATTCCCCATACAGCTTGTTGTTCTGAGCAATTGGACAATTCCTCTTCATCAAGATTAAGGAAAGTCTAATGCGAAAGGTCATGCACAAACTGTAGCAGCCTCAGCGATGACAGACCTAAGAGGAGGTGTTGTGTATTCTGTAGTGCTATGCATAAGTATGGGGATTTAGGTGGCGCAGTGGTTTAAACTGCTGTGCTGCTGGGCTGGTTGATCGAAAGGTCGCCAGTTCGAATCTGCACAACGGGGTGAGTTCCCGTTGCTCCGTCCCAGCTCCTGCCAACCTGGCAGTTCGAAAGCATGCAAGTGCAAGTAGATAAAAAGGTACCACTTTGGTGGGCAGGTAACAGCGTTCCGTGCACTTCGGTGTTTAGTCATGCTGGCCACGTGACCACGGAGACTGTCTGCGGACAAACGCTGGCTCCCTCGGCCAGGAAATGGAGATGAGCACCGCCCCCTAGAGTCAGGCGTGACTGGACTGAACGTCAAGGGGAAACCTTAACCTTTACCTTTACGCACAAGTGCAGCTCCATGAATGTGATGGGGAGATTACAGATTATTTGCAAGAGTGGGCAAGAGAGAGCACATGGCTATAAATGCTCGTCACAGACACCCTGCAATACCTATATAATAAGGGGAAATGTCATGATCTAAGAGGTGGACATTAGAGCAGCAGCATCACTTTTTGTGTTCTGTGTCATATTTCTGTCCAAAGTTTTGCACTGACAAGAAGTGTTCAATGGGTAGAATAATAAGTGTAATGGAAAGGTCTGCAAACCAGATATAGAAGCAATCTGGAAATTGAACTTCTGCTTTATTGAAATGCTTCTTCAGTATAGTTCATGACCACACATCATTTAATGTTTTGCTTTCCTCCAACATAAATTTGAAACTTAGCATTAGTTGTATTAGGAGTCATTTTATGACCCCCAGCAAAACTGCCTCAGGCAAGACAGATGCTACATAAGAAAGGCCTTTGTTTGACCAAAACTCCCCCCCCCCCCCCCCCCCCCGCCCCAATGAGGTTTGACTCAGCATAAGAATGGCTTTCAAGTTGCAGGTAGGCAGATAATTTAAGAATTAATCAGCCATGAATAACAATAAGCATATTGCTTGACCTGTTGATCTTTGTTCTGCATGACATAAAAATACTTTCCCTCAATGGAGTTTGTATACTCAGATGCTTGGCTTTAAAAGAAACCAAGATGATATGTCATTAACCACCTTAAATGCATTTGTTTGCAATATAAAAATACCCACAGTACTATCCTTATGCAACAGTATAGAAGGCAGGAGGTTGAAAGGTAGGACCCTTTTTTTTACCACCTCATTTTTGGCAATGTCCAAGAAGAACTAGACAGTAGATCTACTTTTGTGTTAATTACACAAGAGAATGAGAGCCTGGGGTGTACCAGTTACTACAACATGTGTGATGAAGTTAAGGATGGCAGTGGCTCTTGGATAACACGCAAGGAGAATGTACAATGCAAGCAGGCATCTTGTTGTATCCAAAGATGTGTGCATACCCACCTCCATCAACAGAGACTGGTCATTCTTTCTCACTGCAACGACACAAAGAGCTTGCAAAATAGTGAAGGTTGATTTCTTGCTTAAATCCCATTAGTGAATCAGTGGATGCACAACTGTAAGAATTCCTTGTCTCAGAGCAGCTCTTACATCATTCAGATCAAAGGAGCCACAGGCTTCTTAATCTCAGCTATCTGCTTATAACATAGAATCCTTTCCTGGCTTACGCAGAAGCAAACAATAAAGCCCTTGCTAGTAAAATATAGCATTTTAGGACTGTGTTTATGTACTGATCCTGCATTTCAAATCTAAAAGGCGTGCTTATCTTATGCTGGCTGATCCTAAATCAGTAGCAAATAATATAGCGCTGAAAGAATATTTCAGATTTACTTTATTCCCACTGTTAATTGCAGCTGTGAACTTTTTTGTACAGTATAAAGAGAAATCAGTCAAGTCCAAGGAGAAAGTCGTTGTAGCAGAGCATGGGAAGCATACCAGAAGTCATCGCGGCCCAGGCTGCATAGGAAATTATCCACATTCCTTTTTTTTTAAACCTGTGTGCCTGGGAACGCCTGTGCTATCAGGCTTACCGATCATGCTGAGAACCTGCACATGCCCAGCAGGCTTCTCTTTGCAGACAAGTGCACAAGGTATGGACAGTGTGGGATGAATGGCCGTGATCTCAGAATGGCACCGTTCTGCTGGACATTTTCAGGCAATAAAAAACATTTACTTTCTTGTATCTGCTAGTAAAACCCATAAGCTCTGTCTTTTTTTCTTTTTTCTTTTGCTTTGGTCCTAACAACCACTAAGAAAGACTTGGTTCTCCTTTAGGGTTTATTTTGCTGGTTTGAACTGAATAATAGTTTGTTAGGGAGGAAAGAAACACCTTAAATTTAAATTTGCATTTGTAGCCATTTAGAAATGAACCTTGTGCAAGATGCCCATGGAGAAAACGTTTCAGGAGGGGTTCCACAGGGTGTTCCTCTTATTTGCTCTCATTTGTTTCCCCCCTGCTTTCTGTAGGTATACAGTCTTGTACAATGGGCATCACCTGGAACATGACAAGCTTCCAATCCACAATGACCCAGAATCCCAAGAGTCCTGCTTCTGACTAAGGTCCCAGGATATGATCTGCAAGACAGGAAAGTCAAAAGATCATGTCGGGAACATAATGCCCGATCAATGTTGGCTGCATTGCCATAACACTGTCCTCTGCTGATTGGACAGTGTTAACCGACATTGACATTGGAACCGACCGCAAGAATCTGTTTACCAACCGGAAAGAAGGGGCGCATTTTACAAAGGACAATGGCAATCTTTCTGTTGCTGCAGAGTGACGCCTGGAAAGTTCAAGTCCTTTGCATGTGATGAGCAACCAGTAAGCAACACGCCTGATAGTTCTTGTGCTTGCTCCAATTGATGTGTGTTTGTAAGCACATCTTTTTGTTATGCGACAGTATGAGTTTTTCCCAGATGTTCAACTTCAAGATGAAGTGCTAATATCAAAAACTACAATTTTGATTTACCAAAAATAGGAACTGAGACTTACTTTTCTCTGTTTTTTATTTTTAAATCATGAACTCTTGTTCAAGAAATGAACTCCCTGTCCCTGTGCAACAACAAAGGAAACAGTCATTCTGTAGATAATTTCCTGCCAGTCCTGTCTCCCTGCCAAGATATGCAAAGGAGCAGAAATAGCCTAAGGAGAGCTGAAATGAAACTATGATTGTTCACGAAGTCTTGCAACTCCCAACAAACTGGTCTATGTGAACAAAGTGGTCATCGGGCAACAGTTGCTTTCATTAAAAAGATGCTGCTTTCAGTCTCCTCACATGTCTAGATAAACAGTGTACAGCATTGCTTCAAAGAAGAGTTGCTCCAGAGGCAGCCCAGTGAAGAAGATAATAGCTCACCTGTTCCTGTTCACTAAGTGCCATCTTGTGTGTGCAATTGTGTACATCTGAGCAGTCTCTCTAGCTGAAGCTGCATTCAAAAGTAGCCCTGTGGGGTCCATTCACACATTTGTTTGCTCTCCTCCCCATTTGGTCAAAAGCTGGAGCAGTGGCTCAGGGATTTCGTGCAAAGGACAAACCACGTGTGCAAATGCATCTTGGAATGTGTCAGGGCGTGCTCGTGGTCTGTCCCCCAGGCTGGGCTGGCCCTGTCATTAGCCAGGGTGAGGCAATTGCCTTAGGCGGCAGAAGCAGGGGCAGAAGGCAGGGTGTTGGGATAGGCCTGTGGGTGGCAGGAAGCCTGCCCGACCTCGCACTGCCTTCTGATTATCCCTTAGACAGACCGGGACCCAACTGCTACCTTGTCCTTTGCTTCAGGGAGCAAAACCCCTTGGGCCAGCACTGGGCCTGTGTGGCCGCAGGATCAAGGCCCTGGGTCAGGAAGGCGCAAGCTGCCATCCGAGAAGGATCCAGGGGCAAGCCACGCCATCAAGACAGGAGCTCGGGTCCAGCGGTGGTGGGTGGGTGTGGCAGCAGCGGCTGGCGTGAGGAGTGGGAGAACGCAAAGCTTCCGTCCCACGGGTTCTCTCGGCAGGAGACCCGCTGCTCAGAGCGTGCCCCGGGGGTGGCTTCACAGAGCCAGGCCAAGCTGTGTCGGCCCCGGCGGGGGCTCTTGACCTCGCAGCTGCCGGGGCTGTCAATCTCAGGCTAACTGTGCAGCCCCCAGCCAGTTCAGAAGGCATGCCACCTCGACAGCAAAGGTGGCAAGGTGCTGGAACCCTGACATCTGAAAGGGTTGCTTCATTTGCGTGCATTGTTTTTATTTTCGTTCTGGGGGTTTTTCTTTTGTCAGGACTCTCTTAGACCCTTCAGAGGTTTCCTCTATATAACCGTCCCTTTAAAACAATGCCACTGTCAGCTAAATCCTGCGTGCAGATGTTATTACCTGCTTTATTAGCAGCATCCCATGCTATGGCAAGAGACATTGCTGTAGATCCAGGAAAACTCGGAGCCAGACTTTCATGCCATCGGAAGCATGTGGCTCTAATGATGGAGTTGTGCTGCCCTCAATTGAAGATCTAACCCTAAAATGAAACTTTGCTCTGGAAAATAGGTATTTTGTTACATTGTATAATTATGTACAGCTTTTTTTAACATACAGAAGGAAACCTGACATTATTTATTATTTTGACAGGAATTATTTTCCCATTAAAAGCTTCTAAGTTTAGAAGCTAAAATGTTACTGTTCATTTTTATTTTATTATTGTTCTGTTGCCATGTGACAGCTATTCATTGTAAAAAGTGGGGGGAACTTCTTTATGACAGAGCCAATGCAATTAAAGGAGCATTTTCTTGGCATACTTTTGTTTGGCGATTTGGTGAGTTACAGTCTGAGAATGAAGGATGTAAGAGTGATTCAGTTCCACAGTTTTTGCTGGGAGTACTGGTCTTTTGAGTCTTGGTACACATATAGCTGGACCTAATTTTAGAGCTCTGTCCTTTGGCCTCCTGAGGTTGTCAGGAGAGTCCCTGGATTCTTTGGAGCTCCAGCTGTGAGATCCTCTGTCAGAGTTTGAGCCCCCACCCAGCCCCCCTCATAGCCAGCATGGAACGAACCGTGCTGGCTGCCTCCTGGAGGTCACAGCTGGGCCTGAGACAGAACAAAAGGGGAATGGCAGAAAATGGGGAGGAAAGTTGGTTGGGGCCATTGCCTTATACCAGTTCCTGTCTGTATCCCAGCCCCCTCCCCTCCATGGCCTTCTGAGGTCAGCACAGCAGGTGAGGAACAGTGGCAGTGGAGAACACGCCAATTTCTTGCTGTGTGCATCTACCTAGGAGTGGATTGCCTTGTTCCCCAACAGTGCTTTTTCACTGTATTTGGCCCCTTGACCACAGATGCCCTTGTGCCCACACTGCTGGGCAGGACTGAGGTGCACACCCACAGATGCCCACACAGCAGCTGTAATACAGTAATACCTCGGTTCACGAACGCTTCTGTTCGCAAACAATTTAGTTTGCGAACAGGAAGTTCAGCAAGATTTTGTTTCCATTCCCGAACTCCACATCAGGTGATGAACACGCTTGCAGCCATCTTCCCTGCACGAATACCATCGCGACTGTCTTCCCCACACGAACACAATCGTGGCCACGTGTCAGAGCATGTTCGAGTGGGGAAGATGGCCCCGTTCGGGTTTGTGCAGGGAAGATGGCCGCGATGGTGTTCATGCAGGGAGGGTGGCCACATTCATGTCCGTGTGGGGAAGATGACCACGATTGTGTTCGCACAAACACGAACGCGGCCATCTTTCATGCTCTGACAAATGGCCGCGGCTTCCTCTAGTCGAGATCACGGTAGCGGACTCTCCCTCCAAACCATAACGTCCTCCCTACCCACCTTCCTGTCCTCCACACCAGAAGTCGCCTCAAGCAAGGTTTTCTCTCTCTTCATACTGTACTGTGCTTTGTTTCATATTTTTGTAGTTTAAAAAGTTACATATGGTTCAGAAACTTATTTACATTGAACCTTATAGGGAAATTGGACTCAGTTCGCGACCAATTCGGTTCATGACCAGAATCGTGGAACAAATTAAGTTTGTGAACCAAGGTACCACTGTACGTGTAGGTAGTTTCTGAATGCAGTACAGCTCAGTCTCAGTGCAAAATGCCAGGATTTCCTTGATCCGCTTCTTGTGTGGTACTGCATGCTATAGAGTACACAAAGGAGAGCATGGGAATGCAGGGGCACAGACACTTTATCAGCCACTGAGGAAATTAGACTCTACAGTCTTCTCTGTTGAAAAGCCAAGGTGGACCAGTAGTGTGATTTCCCATACATTTTCCCTAGCAAGTCCTCCCCGCTGGCCAGCCTTCCTGGAATGCCCAGCTATATGGCACAATGACCTACTAGCTGCTGCATTTCCTTTTTTCATTTTGGTGGGACACAGGTTGCACGTTAGTTAAACAAGCTGCTGCCACAGAAACATCACTTGCCGCCTGCTGAAAACACCCCCGCTGCATCTTCTGCTCCCCGCTCTCCAAACAGCTCTGCCCTTGTGAAGAAAAGTTATTCTGCTGATCTGCACTGTGTGTGAGAGAGGAGAGCCAAGATTCCTCTTGCCAGAAAATCGAAGTACCCACCCCGCTTGAGATGTTCCCCCAGCCATACAGGAGCCACTTACACACAGGCTGCTCCTATGCAGCTGGGAGAACATTTAAACCAGGAGTAATCAACCTGGTACCAATCCACCCACGAGCACATTACTTGGTGCCTGCCATGAAAGTGCCTGCTGTTTGTTTGTTTGTTTGTTTTAAATAGCATTTCTTATTGGTAGTTGGAGTCATTTCAAAGCAAAGGGAGGGTCTCTACCTGATCCCACTTCCTTCTCTCATAAATATTTCTGGGTCACATATGGAGCTCAGAGGTATTGTCAAAACAATGAAGAAGGCAGGTAGCTGCAGGGTGATACCATCAGCTGTAACACACCTGCTCTGCAGATTCTCAAATTACCAAATGTGCCCACGGGCCCAAAAAGTTTGAAATGATCCAAAAACAGCAAATGCAGATGGGGTCAATCACCTGGACATTTTACGTGGAATCAGCAGGAGCTGTGGGCTCCAGGGGAAGATAGCCTTGAGCCACCCTTTAGTCATAGCGAGAACATTTTATGCAGCTGGAATAATGCGTACCCTAAAATCCAGAGTTCTCCATATGTTTCCTTTTGAGTTAATACAATGTCCAAAAAGATTTGTGTTCTTGATAGTTCATATATAAGCTTGGCTACCTTAGAATACTATTGTGAACAAGTGCAGACTCTTATCTAACATATTTGAAAGGTATGATTTCCTGTTGAATAAATCAGTGTTCTGTTGATGGAGTGTTGGTCATTCTTCAAACAATTTCCCCGTTAGAGCAATTCTTATCATCACTTACACTCTACATAGAGGCATAAGCTAAGTAATAATTAATAACATGGAAAGCAATGAATTTTGCCTCTGTTGCCATTCACAGAAGCCCTAGCATCAGTCTCTCCAAGAGTTTACCAAAGCTTTTAGTAGAATAAGCCACAACTAGTATTATATATGTTTTGAGACATGAACTTGTAACTGCACTAACTGGAGTATTGTGTTCAATTCTGGGCACCGCACTACAAGAGGGATATAGCAAGGTTGGAAACAGTGCAGTGAAGGGCCATGAGGATGGTGGCTGGTTGGCAAGTAAGCCATATGAGGAGAGACTGAGGGAGCTGGGCCTTTTCAGCCTTGAGAGGAGGAGACTTAGAGAGGACCTGTTAGTGACATGCAAGTATTTGAGGGGTGCCACACAGAGGTGGGTCATGACCTTTTCCCCCCTGCAGTAGACGGCAGGATGTGTTCCAATGGAGCAAAGCTCAGGGAACTGAGATTTAGGGTGGATGCCAGGAAGTACTTCCTGACGGTTAGGACCCCTAGAGTATGGAAAGGGCTTCCATGGGAGGTGGTTGAAGCCCCATCGGTGAGGGTGTTCTAAGTCAGGCTGGACATGCACATGGTAGGTATGTCATGAGTGGAGCCAGCTGGATCTGGGGGGGTCAGACTAGATGGCCCAGGAGACCCCCAGAAGGGCAGCATCAACTCCAAGGGATCACCAGCCTGGTTAACAAGCAAGATCAAGGAAGTGTTACAGAAAAGAAGGCTTCTTTTAGAAAATGAAAGTCTCATCCAAATGAGGAAAACAGACAAACTTGCTCAAAGAAGATGCAAGCAAGCAAGAGATGCAAAAAGCTTTTTGAGGAGCCCATTGCTAATCACATGGCTGACCGTAAAGAATTCTTTAAGTATATTAGAAGCATAAAAGCAGCTAGGAAGGCTGTTGCACAACTCAATAAAAATTATTATTATTATTATAACATTTCTATGCCGCCCCTTGCCGAAACGAAGTTTAAGGAGGATAAGGAGAAGCTGAATTCATTC